CTACCGGAGAGTTCTTTCCAAAAACTAGTTTAGTTTTTAAGAAGCGAGTCATTTATCTCATTAACTTTTACCTCAGAGACGATCGACCGACGGAAATCTCAAAGGAAAACTGCAATGGAGAAAGTATTTTTTATAAAAGGATTATGTTCTTAGCCTTATTCAGTACCTTCATTAGAATGCCTTTCACATTTGGGGAATTCTTTGATACTTGGTTCATAATCCATAACGTCTTTGGTTCCTGCGATGAATTTCAGCGGACTTATACTGGTTTGGCCCTGCTGAGGTAGTCCAGGAGATNTGTGCCATTGTGTTGAACATTCATTCTGAATTGCGGTGACGTTTTGAGAGGGTTTACAGCTCATACAAAGATGTGATATGCGATAAGCAGCCGATGTATAAGTCAGTGCTTTTATCCGTTGTTCGACCACGTCATGCGCTCCAGAATTAGAACTATTCCAAGATCGACATATTCTCTTAATCTGAACTTTTCCCTGAAGAAAAGTTCTGAAATTGGAACACTTGCCAGGCTTTTAAGTTCATCTTCCAGTGGGCGAAGCTATTTTGAAAATGCTATCTGCAACCTTTTTGCACTGGAGAGGGAGATTAAGTGGGTCACGTGAAGCCAGATTTTTATAGGTATTCATAGTCAAATGCAAAGTTAAATGCGTTTAGTCTTCAAATCAACAAACTTTTTACATAATTTTTTCAAATTCTTCTCATTTTTTCGATTCATTTTTTTATTTTTGTTTAGAAATTTTTTCTATTCAACTGTACTGAATCCCTTACCCTTGTGTCAGAAATTAGTCTGAAGTGTAGTTCTGAGTACCGCATGTTCAGCATTATTACATTTTAGCGGAACTTTACGAAGTCGTGTAATTTAACTATCTTCATTAATTTAACACAAAGTTAAATGGTCTTCCACATTTCCGTATTTCTTGGATAGAGAATAATTACTTTGATTTGTTATTCATTTTCATTAGTACTTTCATGATTTCTGTCGGTATCCATAAATTTTTAATAATTCATGATAATGCAAGATACCAGTAATAGAATAGAAAAAGGCGAAAGTGTTGTGGAATATTTATTAGAATTATTAAGTGGTACGAGATTAATATGTAGTTTCATTGTAGCTGAAGCAGTTCAAAGATAATGACGTGATGTTATTGAAGAAATGTTTACCGTACATCTTTTTCCTGTTTATACTTCCCTCCCAGTTTTCAAAGAAAGTAAAAAATAATTATTTCCAGTAATAAATGGTGAATAACAGAAGTAACATTTGAAGTCAAAATTTTTGGTTTTCATTTTGAACAAAGCGTCCCAAAACAGATTTTTGGCCTTTTTTCTCGTAATCACGAGAAAAAAGGCCAAAAAAGGCGAAGAAGCTAAGTTCTTTCGAAGCTGTCCGCGTGTTTTTTTTCCGTTTTTTCGAAAAATTCACTTCTTGGCTTTGGAATTCAATATTTTTTGTAACTTTTTTTTCATTGTTCCTAACGAGGTATTGCTTTCGTGATGTTTGAATAATGTGACCATTTCAGCGTCGAATGGTTTCTGCCAATGATCTGTTCTCCAGTCGCCCGCCCATCCCGGATTTTGAAGGTTTGCGATCTGTTCAGGGTTTTTTTTTTTGACAAAATCTTATTTATTAGTTGGTATTCTGATGTACTGTCAAGAGAAATTTGAATCATCAACTGCAACTATGAGTTTCCAGTACATCAGACCAGTTAACCGAGGTTGTCAGTGCCTTTTCGTGCGAGTCCGGGCGCAAAATGCGTTCTTGGAATATGAATTTGAATATTCGAGATAGCCTTACTGGATCTTGAGTTTTGAAATGTTTTCCTTTGTTTTCTTTTTTTTTTGCCTTTTTTTTTTCTCCGTGTTTTCTTAACAAGGTGATAGTCCTTATTTGAGGTCGGACTTTTTTAGAAGCTCATTTACGAACATTTTTAATCGCAGGAAGGAAATGTGCCGTTTAATTTTTAACAAGTCTTTGGAAAATGAGTGACTGTTATTCAGTAAGCATCCGGAAAATTTTTTCCGAATAATTTTCTCGGAATTTTTTTTTCGCAGCAGCAGGTGTCTTGCCTAATGCTAGTTACGATTAGATGTGAATCAAAAGGGCAAGACTGCAATTCATCGAGTAATCGGGGGATTTTTCTTGAAGACCCCGTCAAAGTCGCTACCGGAGAGTTCTTTCCAAAAACTAGTTTAGTTTTTGAGAAACAGTTTAGTTATCCAATTACCTATTACCTTAGACACGATTGGCCGATGGAAATCGCAAGGGAAAATTACAATGAAGGAAGACTTTTTTTATAGAAGGATGAAGTTCTTAGCCTTATTCAATACCTTCATTAGATGCCTTTCCCACTTGACGGATACTTTGAGAGCTGGTTCATAATCGATAACGTCTAGGTTTTCGGATTTCAGCGGATTTATACTGGTTTGGCCCTGCTGAGATAGTCCAGGAGATTTGATCTCGGTCCCTGCGTTTGATAGCAACGTCAGTCCGCTCTGCACTATCCTCTACGGGCTACATTGTGCAGTGGACTGTGTTTTGCGCACACATATTTCTACAAATATATTTCCATAGTGGCACCATAGTATTTCATAGTATTTCTTTAAATTTCTTTCTATTTTTTCATGATTTTTTTCCCATTTTTACCAACTGGCAAAAGTCTGGATTAGATATTCAAAGGTTTTTATGATTATAGTTTTTCTTTGAAATTTTTTCTTCCTCGGAGTGCTCTTCCTTGAAATGTGTTTTTCGTGTCTACTAATATATTTTTCATGAATTTTTTATTTGTGTTTACTTCATCGTTTGAGATTACGTTGTTGTTTTCTAGTCAGAATGCTTGAATTGGATTTTGAACCTCATCCAGGTGATTTATGAGACCTTCGTTCCGTTTTCGAGCGTTCTCTGGGGATCATTGAAATCTTCGTAGCGTATTTTTGGCCCAGGGCGTAAGCACATGCGTGAAGCGTTCAAACATCATCAACTTTGGACTAAATTGGAATGATCACAGATTAGATTCGAGCTTTGCTTGTTTAGCTTAATCGGTCGGTTCTCATACCCATTACCCTCCTTCAAGCTCATAAGTGTATGTATGATGGGGACACCGAAAATCGGTTGTAAATAGATCTTCTAGGCTGATTTTATGTTGCCAGGAAGCTGTTGGCCGTTTTCTTTTTGAGACAAATGCTAGAGAAAGACCGTGAGAGGCGAGTTCCAGAACAGACTAGTATAGCTACCAAAGAAGTCGATGTTTCAGATAAAGTTGTACTTGGTGGTGTCCTTGATGGAAACGAGCCCAACCGGGTTCCGATAATTGAGGTTTAGCAATGAATTCCACTGTTGTTGTTTTTGTTGATGTTGTTTTTTCCTGGTATTATCGTCGGCCGTCAACCGTGCCGTAATTCAAGAATTCTTTACTCCTAGCGGAGGAACAACTCAGTTGCTGTAGGAGTTTCATGCGATGCATTAACTGTGACTGCCTCGTCGCTTTGCATTCTTATTCGGTCCATTCACTAGTCAACTTGAAAAATTTTACACCGGTAGTTTCAACCGCTCTTATCTATGAAACTTTAGGGTAATTGGTTTGGAGATTTCGATGGGTTTTGCTGATAATTACTTTAGATTCGAGAGAGTAGAATCGATACCCTGGGTTACAGCAATTCGGTTTCATATCGTGTTTTTATCCTCCCAGACTAGCCTGGTGGCCAATAACTGACCCCGGAGGGATGGGAGACTTGGCTCGCCGGAGTTTGTCGTTCCGGGAATCCGATCCGCGGATGATGCATGTGGTATAATGCGTCGATTCCCACCATACCGCCTCCACTCTGTAAAAAATGCGAGAAATTAGTTTTGCTATCTATTTCCCGGATAATGTGAGGTTCTCCCACAAATCGCGCCGTGTTTTCAGAAAGAGCGATATTTGAAACTCTACTGGAAGCTGTAACTTTTTAGCCAAGGCTGGCAAAGCCTTCCCATTCCCTACCTCATTACCCGCTCGTCGCATAGCGACTCATTCGAGATCTTCCGTCGACGTTTCTTTCTACCAATTTGTGTGCTTCCTCCATTGAGACCACTCACGTGAGTTCTGGGAGATCCCAAAGATGAGGAAAAGATCCGAAAATAGTTGAAAGCTCAGAGTTCGGTTGGGTAGTTGCCTCTCCTCGTGAGTAAGCCCATCTATCATCTATATATAACGTTCTCGATTGGTAAATTTGATGAGTACTCCGCGTGTCCATCGCCGCCGCCGGCAGGCAGTCTTATTGCCTGCTTTTCGTTGCCGGCGGCGGTCAATCCCTAGAATATCTCAGCTTATTTCTGCTCTCAAAATAGTTTGTTCTTCCAAGTACACAGCTACGTTACTCTATAAATGAAGAGGTCAGATTATTTCCGACCAAGGCATTTCCTAGAACGTGCCCGCTTATTACTTCCTGCCTTCGAATAGTGGTTCGTAGTTGCTATTCTTGGTGTAGTAGCCGCTCAGCTATCTTTTTGTAGCTGAAGTTCCCTGAAAAACTTCCTTAGGAAACAACATTATTGGCAGAATCAGGGAAA